TTTTTTTTAGTAGAGATAGGGTCTCACCCTTGCTCAGGCTGGTCTCGAACTCCTGAGCTCAAACGATCCTCCCTCCTCGGCCTCCAAGAGTGGTAGGATTACAGGCATGAGCCACCACGCCTGGTCAGGAAAGGAATAATTTCTATCCCACGGATTCTTTGCTTCCAGCGAAAATGCTTTTATAAGGGATATACAACCACTGTTATTGAAGGTAAGATGGCGGGGCATTCTGAGAAGTGCCTACTTGGTTCTTTCCACCAACAAAATAGAGGGATAGCTGTGGAAAGCACCAGCAAGAAGTGCCCAGCTTTTAGCTGTGTGAAACGTCGTGCTTCGAAGTTGAAGGGAATTTTTTCCCCAATATTATTATATAAATGATGCACTTTTGTGATGCATTTTGCAGCAAAGAGTACTAACATGCTCTCTTTTTCAATGAACGTGCTACATACCACACACAGACACACACACACACACACACGCTCCCAAGGTCCTCAGAAAAATTGTGAAATGGACTAGGTGGGTTTTGGCTCTCCCCTAACTCACAACTCCTCCCTTTTTTTTTTTTTTGAGACAGAGTCTTGCTTTGTTGCCCAGGCTAGGAGGAGTGCCCTGGCTTCAGCCTAGCTCACAGCAACCTCAAACTCCTGGGCTCAAGCGATCCTCCTGCCTCAGCCTCCCGAGTAGCTGGGACTACAGGCATGCGGCCACCATGCCTGGCTAATTTTTCTATATTATATTAGTTGCCAATTAATTTCTTTCTATTTATAGCAGAGGACGGGTCTCCTCTTGCTCAGGCTGGTTTCGAACTCCTGACCTTGAGCAATCTCCCGCCTCCGGCCTCCCAGAGTGCTAGGATTGCAGGCGTGAGCCACCGCCCGGCCAACTTATTATTATTATTATTATTATTATTTTGAGACAGAGTCTTGCTTTGTTGCCCAAGCTAGAGTGAGTGCCCTGATGTCAGCCTAGCTCACAGCAACCTCAAACTCCTGGGCTCAAGCAATCCTCCTGCCTCAGCCTCCCAAGTAGCTGGGACTACAGGCATGCACCACCATGCCGCTAATTTTTTCTATATATTTTTAGTTGGTCAATTAATTCTTTCTATTTTTAATACAGATCAGGGTCTCACTTTTGCTCAGGCTGGTTTCGGAACTCCTGACCTGGGAGCAATCTGCCCACCTGCGCCTCCAGAGTGCTAGGATTACAGGCGTGAGCCACTGCGCCCAGCCTAACTTACTCTTAAATGTATGAAGGTAGAGGGAAGTGATGGACACAGCACTACTGTGAGCAGTTGGATAGCCATGAAAAGAATTTTGGCTTTTTGATCATAAGAACCTCTCCTTGGAGATATATATATAGAGTGGGGTGTGTTCACACACAAAGCATATATGCCTAGGTACAAACACACATGTATGCACAGTTACAGCCACATGTAGGTGTTCCAGGATGTGACTGGGGCCATTGTGGTTGTCGATCTCCAAGATGGTCCCCAGTGATCCCTGCCTCTGATGTTCGCACCCTCGTAGGTCCCCTCCCTCATTGTACGAAGGTTGGCTGTGTAAGCAGTAGAACACAGAAGTGATATTGTTACTTACAACATTAGGTTATAAAATATATTTGGCTTCTGTCTTGGGATCTCTGTCTCTCTGTCACTCTCCACATAACCCACCTGCCATGTTGTGAGCAGCACTATAGGAAGGTCCACATGGTCAGGAAGTGAAGGCTCCTCATGACATCAGGAGCTTGGAAATAGATCTTTTTTTTTTTTTTTTTTCTTTTCTGAGACAGAGTCTTACTCTTGTTGCCCGGCAGAGTGCCGTGGCATCAGCCTAGCTCATAGCAACCTCAAACTCCTGGGCTCAAGGGATCCTCTTTCCTCAGTCTCTCGAGTAGCTGGGACTTCAGGTGTATGTCACCATGCCCGGCTAGTTTTTCCTATATGTTTTTAGTTGTCCAATTAATTTTTCATTTTTTTTTTTTTTTTTTGAGACAGAGTCTCGCTTTGTTGTCCAGCTAGAGTGAGTGCCGGTGGGCGTCAGGCCTAGCTCACAGCAACCTCAAACTCCTGGGCTTAAGCAATCCTTCTGTCTCAGCCTCCCATGTAGGCTGGGACTACAGGCATGAGCCACCATGCCGGCTAATTTTTTCCTATTATATATTAGTTGGCCCAATTAGTTTCTTTCTATTTATAGTAGAGATGAGGTCTCGCTCTTGCTCAGGCTGTGGTTTCGAACTACCGACCTCGGAGCAATCCGCCCGCCTCGGCCTCCCAGGAGAGCTAGGATTACAGGCGTGAGCCACCGCGGCCCGCCTATTTCTATTTTTAGTAGAGACAGAGTCTTGCTCTTGCTCAGGCTGGTTTGGAACTCCTGACCTTGAGCGATCCTCCCGCCTCGGCCTCCCAGAGTGCTAGGATTACAGGCGTGAGCCACTGCACCCCTGGAAGTAGATCTTTTAAATAAGTCAAGTTTTCAGATGACTCCAGCTCTGGCTGATAGCTTGACTGAAACCTCCAGAAGCAGAACAATCCAACTAAAGTGGGTTCTGAATTCCTGACCCTCAGATATCATGAGATAATAAATGTTAATTGTTTTAAGCTGGTACATCTTGGAGAAATGTGTTGTGCTGCAATAGATAACTAATACAGCTTCAAAATATCACCTACCTTAAAATATCTTCCTATAGGCCGGGTGCGGTAGCTCACGCCTGAATCCTAGCTCTTGGGAGGCTGAGGTGGGCGGATCGTTTGAGCTCAGGAGTTCGAAACCAACCTGAGCAATGAGCGAGACCCCTTCTCTACTATAAATAGAAAAAATTAATTGGTCAACTATATATATAGAAGAAAATTAGCTGGGCATGGTGGCACATGCCTGTAGTCCCAGCTACTCGGGAGGCTGAGGCAGAAGGATTGCTTGAGCCCAGGAGTTTGAGGTTGCTGTGAGCTAGGCTGACGCCACGGCACTCACTCTAGCCTGGGCAACATAGTGAGACTCTGTCTCAAAAAAAAAATAAAAAAATAAAAAATATATATCTTCCTATAGTGCCTAAAATTCTCAAAATAGGTACTTAAGTATTGAAGATACTATCTACTCACAAATGTTTGGGGATGCTTATTTATTTTGAAGAGTGTAGAATATGGTATAGGATGTCAATATTGGCCCTTAATACCTTCATATAAAATAAAGTATCCAAAATATTTGTCACCTACAAAGCCCTGCAAAAATACATGGGAAATTCTTGGTTTTTATCTTATTTGTTTTGCCTTACTTTCAGTCTTTTTTTAGGTTCCTAGTTAAAAGTAATGTTTGCTTGTTACATTAATAGAAAATTTTGAAAATATAACACCAATCCAGA